AGATTTCTATCTTTTTGAACTGTTCACGAATAACTATTTAGATATAGCTCGAATTTACAAAGTTTAAAAATCTTTGTCAGATCATCACCAGACTACGCTATTTCTGAAGCTGAGAAGTCCCAGAGTTGCAAATCTTTAAACCAAATCACTTCTGAAGCCAAATCTCAAACTTCAAAAAAATTTTTTCCCATGAAGAATCATTGAGAATGTAGCAATTTGATACAAACCTTGCCAAGGCGAAAACTTTTCAGCAAATGATTAAAGGATTCTGTATCGTTGTTGAAGTATGATGACTTAATAGCATTCTTAGCTGCAATAAATTTATTTTCTTTCAGCAGTGAAAATATTTTGCTTATGAATTACTGAATCATTGGCTTCTATGGAAAATGTTGGTGTTCTTTCAAAATTTGAGGACTGGCAACTATTTGCTGATGTATAATCAGATTTCTGTCGGTAGGATCAACACAAGAGACTAACTTTTCTGGCTGCATAGTCTTGTAACGGTACTTACGATTCATCGAATATGGTACATTTAACGACAGATCATCTGTCCAGGAGGACTGCTGAAAAAATTTCAACACTCGAAGGACAAAAAGATAAAAGATGGCTAAATTACAAAAAATTTTTGAAAACAATCAGTAAATTCTATAACAGGTTAATTAACCCAGTAGCTTTTCGGCTGATTTTTGCTGCTTCATTTGACTATTATAAAATATTCCACCTTGCTGTCATTGAAAAGCTTCTTAGCCATTGTTTTTCTATTTTTTTTTGTTTAAAATGGATCTAACTTAAAATCGCAAAATAGGATAGAATCTACAGCGGCATCCATCTTCGTCCACTTAAACACTAAAAAACAAGCAGCGGATATTAAAAACCTATAAAACTACTAAATCAATTCATGCTTTAGACTGTTAAGCTGTCAGCAGTATCAACCAAATCAAATATTTTCAAATTACATACCAAAATTATATTTTGAAAACAGCTATTTCGCTGAATAGAACAGAAGGCAATGAAAAGAACATAGAAAATAGAGACTGCTTTTTTTTGTTAAGAAGATTTAATCAAATAAAAATTTCAAAGTACTTTTTCTCTATTAATCAACTTTTCTTAGCATATGAAACTGGAACAGTTTTTGCTTTTATCAAAAGATAAATCCAGCTGGTTTCAGAGAAATAAAAACAAGTGTTCCACAAAATGCAGACTTCCATTCGAAGGAATGTTCGGTTTGCATACTGTAAAAACAGTTAAAACAATGTGAGCTTCAAGAAATCAAAATAAAACTGTAAAGTCGCTGTTTAACATAGGTTGAATAGAGTTACTGACAAACTAAAAAAGGAAAAAAACAGCACTGATTTAGAATATGGGCTTACTTCCATTTCCGCCGTAGCAGAAAGCGAATACGCGGCCCACACCACCATCAATACTCTTGCTGTGATCCCTGTTTTCAGTAAGTGCTCTTTAGATAACACAGTGAGGAAGTCCAAGATTATTTGGTAAATCATTAAAAACTTCGAACCAGACAGCTTGACCGTCAGTAGAAGAGAATACGAATATCGAATACCAGATGAGCCGTCAAAAGTGAACAGCAGAACAATATAAATGCAGAGGATACGAGCGGTGAATAAGTAGTAAAAAATATCGCGCAAACACTACGAATGTTGTGCAATATTAAGATGTGTTGACTGCTGTCGCGTTTCAATCACCGAGTTTGGTATTTGCTCAATTAGCTCCACCCTTTTCCATCCAGAAGCTATGGACAGTACTAAGATTCATAACATGCCGGAAAACTCCTGGGTCGTTCTGTACCTTTTTTTTACCGTCCACAATATTGCGCAACTGTATAAGATCATCAACTGAAGGAGGATGACACTGCATCGGTTGTGGAAGCCAAATGAATGATAAAAACTTTAGTCTTTAAAATATAAAGAAGTAAACAAGAGTAAACACTGTAAATTAATGCCTAATGATTCCCATATTCAAACAACCGACTACTTACGTTTCTTTACACCTCTGACTTTTTCGCTGTGCCGTTTAGATCTGCAAACTGGGAAACACACACTAAAACTATGAAAATGGAGATATTTCAGAGACACCTTCGGTGACCGGTGGTATTAAAAAAATAAAGTACTTTGACAAAATGTAAAAATTTTGTGCAGCAGCATCAAAAAAGAAGGTAATAAACTGTAGGGTCAATAAAAGAAAACTGGTTAGATCGCAGCAAAAAAAAGAGCGAGAAAAAAACGGCCACTTTGGTTTCAGGCAACTTCCCTAACTTCCACTACCTCACCTCTGCCAAAGTTTATTTCATCCTTTTGCTTCAAAGAGGAGACAGAAGAAGAAGTGAGAGTTTGCCAAACACTATGTGAAAAAGAATTTTGAGGTTTCGTTTACTAGGATAATTAAAATAAATTGATATTTTGCAAAAATGATCTTTTTTCTCGCACAGATCTTATTTCCGTTTAGAAATATCGACAGTCCTCGGCGGTGGGGTTTTCTTTCGTGTGACTTTTCTTCGTTAAGCGGCTTCATTAATGAATTTCTGCATCCTTTCTACAAAAAAAACAAACAATATTAGTGTTTTGTATATATAGAAAGAATGCAGAAAAAACAGAAAAGAAACTTTCTTCCATAAAGCATGTTCTTCATTGGAAATCAGAGCGAATATTATTTGGCTTGGTGAATTGCAGTTAGGGGAGCGCATTAAATAAAATCCAAAAGAAGAACAGAGATATTCACTGGTACAATAACAGGGTGATTTTAGAAACGTTCGTACTGGGAAAACAAAAGGCAAAGAATGCAGAAAGCAGTCTTCTCAAAAGAAGACGGAGCAGGCCCTGGTTATGTACAGTTGGCATTATGTTCGGAGTTCTTGAAAAAAAGGAAAGGCAAGAACACTTGCATAGTTCTTGAGAAAGTTAAGAATTAAAATAGCACTTCGTTTCTACAACCGTGATTTAGCTCCTAACGATAACGCCAACACGTCCAACAAGGAAGTAAAACTCCTTAGAATCACGGAAGAATATGCAGACTCTGGACAACGACAGTCTTTCCAAAAACTAAAAAAGCTGAATAGGTCATTTTCACGTTATGGAAATTTGCCAACAGCAGAAATTCGCTGCATAGCAGCACGAAGTTGGTCGAAAAACTGTAAAGCAAAGTTGTGTAGTGGCGGTATGAACTTAGGAAGGTGAGACTGCACTTAAGTTTCACTCAAGGTAAATCTATTTTTATTTCCGCTGGTTCTTGTACTGTATAAATCTGCGCTTACAACTATTTTTTTGTCTGCTGGAAATGGAAAACGTCTGGTTTCTTTACTTGTTGCCAATAGCGAACAAGTATAATGTCGTTTGCAGATGACTGAAGTCTGGGGTAGTCTTAGGTCGTTCCACCTTATCGACGCGTTAATGACCTTCAGTATTTCATTCATTAGTTCGTTATGTAGTTTCGTTATCATATTCAAGTGAGTAGGTAGATATAGTGTTTCCAGTCGCTGTCTTCGTAGTTTTTTTTTTTTGTTTTCCAAGACGTTATAACCTTTATCCCCTTTTTTCCCGACCTCCATAGGTTGTATATGTTTTTGAATAAAATTAATCATTAATGCTGTCGGCGGAGCTTTATTTTTACTCTGTTTTACTTGTACTGCTCGACTGTCCTCTTGTGGTCTTCATGGCTTACCAGATCGTAATTTGTATTGAAAAACAGAAACGAGTTCAGGTTCAGCCGGTTTTAACACCAGATAAACTTGTGGTTGTGTTTCTTACCGGATGATTAAATATTCTGCAGTTTCTCAGCCGTTTTGGCTTATAATTCTTTTGGATTCATTGTCCGGTTTATTTTGCACGTGTTTTATCTATTAATGCTTTTCTTTTTTTCTGAATCATAGTTTTAAAGCGCAGTAGTTTATCTTACCGGTCATTAATCTAGTCGTTCTGTTGTTCTAGTGAATTTCATGAATGATCGTTTTTTCAAGCTTTAATTTAGAAAGGCAAAGGAATTATGGTTGAAGGAGGCGATCGTAGCTCGTTTGTAACAAAGAAGCAACCCTCTGTTGATGAAGTGGAAAAAGAAGTCTAGTTTTTAACACTTAACAAAGAAACTTAGTGTTTCAGCATGGAGAATATTAAGCATTTTAGAATATTTCTGTTTTAGGAGATATCTAAAATTCCCAATCTGGAAATCGCACAACTGCGATTTTTAGTAAATCATACGGAATTGGACAAGGGAACGAAAGCTGAGAAATGGGACGAGCTGCTAAAGGTTTTTTTCGGAATATGCTTTTTTAATTTTTTTTCAAATTTTAGTTGTGTTTTATCAGCTAATAGTTTATTTTCCTATTGTCGAGAAGCATAAGAGGTGTTAACAGTCTTTTCTTCCAATGATTTTTCATATTTACATTGTCTTATAGTTATATTTGGGAAGGTTTCAGTTGATTCAAGAGAACGAAATGGGGCCATATTATAAGCAAGTATGCGAGGAATTGGGCATTGCTATAAATGAGTCACTCCTTAATGAACTAAAGTTGAAAAATGAGAGAAAACTCAAAGAAATGGATGATGAAATCACAGATGCCGAGCAGAATTTGGGTAACTTTTTAGAATATCATTTGTAGTTACGATATGTTCTTTATATAAGGTCATTCCATGAGGTTAAAAAGCTTTTTTTCTAATTTTTTCCCCTGAGTTGTTCTTTGAAATGGTTATTTTTGATAACTGTTTAAGGCGAGAGTGAGGTACGTCAAGCTTATTTACGAAAAAGTGAATATTTGTGCCAGATCGGTGACAAAGAGGAAGCTGTTAACGCCTTCAGGAAAACTTATGAAAAGACTGTGGGATTAGGGTACAGAATTGACCTTGTTTTCAACCTCATTCGTTTGGGGCTTTTCTTTCTTGACCATCAGCTGATCAATGCCAATATTGCGAAAGCGAAAGATCTGATGGAGCAGGTGAGTCAAAAATATTCGTGAATTACTACAGTGCTTTACAGGTGAATAATTACTTGACCTTTTGGAAAGCGGCGTTAATTTAGCAGTCAAAGGTTTAAGCAGTCAAAAAATGTTGCTTTAAGGGTGGTGATTGGGAGCGGAAGAATCGGTTGAGGTCTTATGAAGGTCTTTATAAGATGTCTATAAGAGACATGAAAGGTGCCGCCGAACTTTTTTTGGAAGCAGTTCCGACTTTTGGCTCTTATGAACTGATCTCATACGAACAGCTAGTTTTTTACACCGTCATATGTGCCGTTTATGGTCGAGTTTTCTTCTTCTAATTTATTAGCTCAATCTTATTACTTCTTCTGAATATTTCATTTTGAATACCTCAACTTCCGATCTGATAGAGTTTTGTTTTTTTTAGCCTTGGAGCGCCCAAACTTAAGGTCCAAAGTGATAAGGTGTAACGAAATCCAAGAGCAGGTAACAACTAGAAATTTTTTTATTTTACTTTTATCGGAACCTGATTAAACCGCAAATCCATTTTTCTGTGTATCTTCAGTGTTCTCATTTTCAGTTGACTGGCGGGGGTGAAAAAGGTGAATTAATACCCGTAAAACAGTACTTAGATGCTTATTACGGTTGTCGATATGACGAGTTGTTTTTGCTTCTGGCAAAGTTGGAAAGTGAGAAATTGAAATTTGATCGCTATTTGGCGCCTCACTACAATTTTTATTCTCGAGCTGTGCGTCTCAATGCCTACAAACAGTTCCTTACTCCTTATAAAACGGTCGGATGCTTTAGTTTTGTTCTTTCTGCTCCCCATTTTTTTCTGCAAATTGATTGTCATAAATTTATTTAATTGTAATTTGATTGGAAAGCAACCGTCATTTTAGAAAACCTGTTGATTTGCCATTCTCTTAAAAACTAAAAAAGAGTCTACCGGATTACTTGTTTAGGTCAGATTAGACATGATGGCAAAAGACTTTGGGGTTTCAAAAGCATTTATTGATAAGGAATTACATGCTCTGATTGCTGCTGGACAGCTACACTGTCGAATCGATGCAGTAAGAGGTGTGGTAGAAATGGACCATCCAGACACCAAGAATCATCTGTACAGAGCAGTGATAAAGTAAGTTCCGTTCTGCTCTTTATTATCTTCCTTTATATGATGTTTATTTCATTCGAAAGGTTTAAATTGTTGCAAGATCTGCTTGACTTAAAAACAATGACAGTTTTAACAGCACAGCTTAATTTTAGGGACGGTGATGCGTTGTTAAACAGAATACAAAAACTTGCTCGGGTGATAAATGCATAAATGGTTAATTAAATTATTCATTTGTTTTAAAGCTGCTCATAAAAAAACGCCACAGTGATTAAACCAGGAATGCACGGACTAAACAAATAGGCTGAAAGCATCTCCAGACACAAGGAGATCTAAAGGAAATTTCCGAGATCGGCGGACGTGTTCCTTTTTTCTTTTTGTTACCGCTTCTTGGGATACATTGGCGTTGCCCTTTGTAAAAGTCAACTACTTTTTTCCTTTGGGGCATGTGCCAACACACGAACACATGACTTGGAATGTCTCGCACCAGTCGTCTATGACCGTGTAAAGGCATTTACTTAAATCTCGTTAAACCCTGCTTCAAATGTTGTTCCTTCTAAATTCTGTGTCATAAAAATTTATTTCTTGAAATTGATGTGTGCCGTCTGCACTTTTTCTAATTATAAAAGCAGATGAAAGAATGATATCTTTCTCTTCTGTTGTAACGGGCTTGAAGAGCTGGAGTTGATGTGAAGAACTGTCTCCAGGTGTTTGCGGTACGACAGAAGCTAGCTAAATATGTTGAATACAACTAGTGTGCCGTCGAAGCCAGTGAGTTTTCCAAAGTGTTGTTGCGAGGATAAAGGGTAAGGCGTTCAGTTTCGTAGTCGTTTTAATAGCAGTTCAATGTCGCGCAGTACTTCCTGGAAAAGGCAATAATTGTACGGTGGGTGCTTTGTCTTCTAAACTAAGGATGGAAAAGAAAAAAATACTAGTATTGCGGGATAGCAACAGTTCGTAACTGCCCTTCTAGTCCTTCTAAATACTCTCGCCTTCCCCCCCCCC